GATTAAACTCAAGTTATCAAGCATGACAGGAAGCCTCACCCATTAAACCATCCCAGCCACCTGTGTATGCTCCTCTGATTCCTTCTGCCCTCAGGTTTTGCTTCTTGCTTTAAAATTCTACCACTGGTGGGAACTGTGGCCACAAAGCCTTTCCCATGTGTCTTTTGCAGCTGATGGCAACTCTTTGAAGTCTTAACCATCAAACTTTTACCACTCCACCACTCTCTCAACAAAGGCCTATCTATGGCTGAACTTAGAAAGCTTCTAACAAAGAAAAACTGCAAATTAAGAAAGACCAACACTGCATTGGCTTACTTCCTTTTCAAACTAGAGTACGATGTTCCCATGCAGTCCTTATTTCAGCTCCTACTCCTTAGACAATATACTTTTGTTAGCTAAACTGAAAATATCGATACCTCTATTACATTGGTTGTTTTATCAGAAATTGAAAGTTATTTGTTTAGCCAATAAGATTTGTTTAGAGTAGCACCTAGCCATTGTAATGTATTAGAGCATAGTTCTCCACCCCTACGTGTCAGATGAATAAGATACATGAATCTTCTCAAAAATACATGTAAAGTTACAATTTGCCATCCAAATAAGAGAATGTTGTAACTAGGACACAGATACACATAAATAAAAGCATGTTATTTTAAATATATTGTTTTGATAATTCTGTCCCATAGAGGTCAGGCAAGGGATGAGGAAAAGGAAAAAAAAAAAAATAGAAAATTGGCCATACTCCAATCCTAAACTGCCCTAGCTGTGTTCCCTTGTTGCACTCCTTTTCATGTGTTTATTATTCTTCTTTTCCCTATAGCTTTAGGTTTGCAATATTTTTGTCTGCTTTGCCTCATTTGAGCTAACAAATGTATTCTGAATGTTTTCAGTCTATACCAAAACTCACTTTTCCTGGTGGCTTATTAATTGGTTGTAGTCCTGGTTTCATGAATGTTCCCAAGATCAAAGGGACCCACACGGCAATGAAAAGTGGAAGCTTGGCAGCAGAATCAATTTTTAATCAGCTAACAAGTGAAACTCTCCAATCAAATACAGCAGGTGAGAAACTCCTCCTATATGAACTCCTAATAGTCTGAAATTTAAACACTGTCATCTTATCCACATCCAAAGTATAGTACCAGTGATGTCCCCTTTTAAATTTAACGGTACTACATGTAGAATGACTCAAAAAGAGGTGTCTATGGGCTTTAGCCCATAGATACTGGGCTAGAAATAGAGAGTTTTGAAAATGGCAAAATGAGCTACCTATACTTGGTAAACACAAAGCAAAATCACATGACTCTGCTGTGGCAACTTGGTTATACCTTCAAGTACCTAAGCATGAAAGTCTAGCACATGGGCTTGGCAAGAGGTAAGAAAACCAATAAAAGTCAAAAAGATACTTTAGACAAGGCAGGCTAGGCAAGATGGAATGTAAACATTAGGTAGAATGTTCCCTTAATTTTTCATCAAGTACTGTTCCTAATGGGACCATCAGTCATATTGTAACTGTACCATGTACACATAGTACCAGATAACAGTGGAACTTAGCAAGGAATAAAAGCCCTTGAAAACTTTAACAGAAACCTATTAGTTTGTGCAAGTCCCTTAAGAATCAATTGTTCCCTTAAATGCACCATACTAGACAGAGCAACTTGCCCAGTGCTCATGAAGAGCTGGATCAATCCCTAACATCTGCACCCCAAACGGTGGGTTTCCTAGTTGTACTGTAACCAAATATGACAGGTCTCTCTTTACAAGTTCTGCCAGCAGGAAGTTCCACATCCAGGTGTTAATAGGACTGCACTCTTAAGAGATTTCTTTTCCCTCTACCTATCCCGACTTATCTGTGCATTCCTTAATTGTTCTCTGCCCTTTTCTTCACCATCATCTCTCTCTCTAAGTAGACGTCTAATAGAATCGGGACCCACTCTATTCTAGAAAACTCCAATTAATTATGTCTGTAACCACACTACTATAAAGTCGCAGTCAGGTACTAGGGAAGAGTCCACTGGGACTTCAAAAGATATTCTTGCAGGAACACGATTCCACTTAGAGTAGATGTTCCAGTGATGACTTTTGTATTTAAAACATATTTATGGGGGGCTGGAGAGATGGCTCAGTGGTTAAGAGCACTGGCTGCTCTTCCAAAGGACCGGGGTTCAATTCCCAGCACCCACATGGCAGCTCACAGCTGTCTGTAACTCCATTTCCAAGGGATTGGACACTTTCACACTAATGCACATAAAATAAAATTAAATGAATTTAAAAAAAAAGACTTAAAAGAAAATAGTGTTTAATATATATATATATATATATATATATATTTATGTAATTGCAAATAGCCTAACTTGTGTGAAGCTCCCCTTTTAAATTAATTTTTATGCTTCCAGTGTGAAAATTAAAGTCTAGCATTATAGCCCCATGTTCTTGCCTAACATGCAAAAGCCTCAGTGGCACCCAAAGGCAGATCAAATGCCTTTCACTTCCACAGTCTTTCTTGTTGGAAGCAACCAGCATTTATGTGAGACTCTGACCATGATTTAGGAACCAAGACCCACCATCTGTTTCATTTGATATGTATTACTTTTTATAAAAGGACTCCACGTAACTGAGTATGAGGACAATTTGAAGCAGTCTTGGGTATGGAAAGAGCTATATGCTGTTAGGAATATAAGGCCATCCTGCCATGGAATACTGGGATTATATGGAGGAATGATTTACACTGGAATATTTTACTGGATATTGAGAGGAATGGAACCCTGGACTCTAAGACATAAAGGTAATTCAGATATACTTCATGCCATTGTTGATGTTGTGTGTGTGTGCTCACCAGCTGAGACTATAACCTTGTAGTGTTTTGCTAGTGTTAGGGCACCTCAGGCCGACTGGCTGCTTGCCAGCGAGCACTCACTTAGCTCCATCTCTACCCACTTAACATTTTAAACTTGCTCATCAGACTAGAGAAATATGATTCTGTTTGGATTGTGGGTGTTTTTCTTTTGGGGGGATGGTATTTTGAGACCGGCCAGGCATGGGAAGGTAAAGGCAAGAAGAAAGTTAAGTTCAAGGCCAGTATGGACTAATAACAAGACTGAGGGACTGAGAGAGAAGTTCAGTGGTAAAAGAGTATTAGCGTGCATGGGCCCTAATCTGCCTGAATCACAGCACAAACAACAACAACAACAAAAAAGATAAATTCTGGAAAATTATATTACTTTATTAAACATCTTCCTCAAAATTGCTTAAGGCTTAGACTCTGATCAGCTCAAACCAGCCAAGGACTGTACGCCTATTGAGTATCCAAAACCTGATGGACAGATCAGTTTTGACCTCTTATCATCTGTGGCACTGAGTGGTACTAATCATGAACATGATCAGCCAGCACATTTAACCTTAAAGGATGACAGCGTCCCTGTTAACAGAAATCTGTCTATATATGATGGGCCTGAGCAGCGATTCTGCCCTGCAGGTCAGTAATGATTTCCTTGTGTTCCTAAACATTAACAGATTTCCAGTTTAAGATGTTCCCTTTCCATTGTAAAAAGACCATTAAAGACCATAAAAAAGAAAAAAGGAACAACAAAAAGCCATACTTTTATGTTCAGCATCCTTAATGAAGCTCATTTCCTGAGTAGCAATGATTAAATAGATTTTGGTTAAGCCTCGTTTGGATGACCTATCTCCAAACAGCTTTCATGTTTACCCTCAGACAAAAGGACTATAGAAAACAAATACCTGTTCTGGGTCTTTTAAAAAGTTGTTTCTGAAATAGTTTATATGCACATGTAAACACATTATGTCCACGCTGACACAATATGAACACATTACGTTCAATGACTGACACAATAAATTTTAAATTCATCCTAAGTACTGAATCCCTTAAGTCCTAAGAGCATTTTCAGTTAAAATTAATGAGTAGGCATAAATAGTACAGTAGAATAAAGAATACTCAGATATATGAAGATTACTGTATACTCAAGTGAAATGACTAGAAGGTAAATAAAACTGTTCAAGAATAACACTTGGGGGCTGGATAGATGCTCAGAAGTTAAGAACACTGGCTATTCTTCCAAAGGTTCTGAATTCAATTTCCACCAACTACATGTTGGCTCATAACCATGTATAGTGAGATATGGTGCCCCCTTCTGGTATGCAGGCACACATGCAGGCAGAATACTGTATAAATTATAGATAGATAGATAGATAGATAGATAGATAGATAGATAATCTAAACTTAATTTTTGTAAGTTACAGTGTACTGAAGTTAATTTGTTAAACTCTTGTTAGACTAAGCCAAACAATTCTGTTGAACATCTACTATGTGTTTAGTTTATACTACTAGCAGCAACGTACACCAAAAGAAGACAGTCTCAGGGGGTAAACATGAAAGCCTCAAAGATTTCCGTGGTTCAGAGAATTTAATTTCCAATTCACTGTTGAATTATCTGCCCTTTTGTTACATACCTAATTATTTTTTTTATTTTACAGGAGTTTATGAATTTGTTCCTTTGGAACAAGGTGATGGACTTCGATTACAGATAAATGCTCAGAACTGTGTGCATTGTAAAACATGTGATATCAAAGATCCAAGTCAGAATATTAACTGGGTGGTGCCAGAAGGTGGAGGAGGACCTGCTTACAATGGCATGTAAAACACAAGTGCCTTCATTTACTGGCACATTTGATAGCCAGTTTCTATAAAACTGTAAATGTATGCCGAACTAACTCTTAAATATTTAGGTAACTTCTCAACAAGTGTCCTTCAGACATTATTGAAGTAAAATGCTTTATATCTGAAGTTGTCCCATAAAATCATGAACTATTTCTCATAAATAAAATTTATAAATAAATGATGGAACATCTTCTTACTCTCAACTCCTTCCAGTAGCAAGAGAAAAGTGTACTATTGGGCTTTGACAATACATTTGTTTTGTAAAACTTAAAAGTCTTCAAGTATGAAAACAAATGTGTTCTAGACCAGAAAGGACATCCAGAGCTCAACACTTAACGAAGTTTTATTGAAACATAGCCATGCCCACTGGTTACACACATAATTGTGACAGATTATATCAGTGGTTCTCAACCTTCGCAACCCTTTAGTACATGTAGTTCCCCATGTTGTGGTGAACCCCAACCATAAAATTGTTTTGTTGCTACGTCATAACTATAATTTTGATACTGTTACAAACCAACGGACCCACAAGTTGAGAACTAAGGTGGTCCACAAAGCATACAACTTAGTGAGACTCTAAATTTACAGTTTAAACATTGGCCGGATACCACTCTTGATGAAAATGCACTTTTAAAATGAGAGTCACTGTATTTCATAACATTTTATTAAGAAGGAATCTGTCAACAATTCTATGTAAACAATGACAAAGAATCAAGGGAAACATCAAGGATCAGACAGTAACTTACATTATCTTTTATATAATCAATGCATATTTAAGCAAAGTCGAATCCTTATTAAGCAAACATTTTTGCATACACTGCCTTCTCTTTGTCTTTCTGTGCCTTTATCATTTGTTTGACTTTAAGCATTTCTGCCTGGATAGCTGGGGAGGGAAAAGCAATCAATTAATTTTCAAAGCATCTAAAAAATTGGGAAAACAACAACAGACTGCAGTAGTAACACTTCACTCTCCCCTGACATAGTTCTGGTTTTTACCAGTAATATTTAGACATATTGTCCTTCTTCATCTGCTTTACCTTGGGTGAGTTCTTTCTATTAGAGCTACTCTGCAACATACCCAGTACATACAGTGTTTGGTCACAGCCACATTCAGCTTAGAAAGGGATGTCGCAAACTTTAAAATTGCAATCAATACTTTCTTACTATGATCTTTTATAGACTAGCACTGATGTAACAGAACCTACATCACAGCAAAAAGGGTCACAGAAGCAGTATGAAGGCCTACTAAAAAGCTAGTACATTCTTGAGCAGAGTAAGAATGTAGGCTCTGCATAGGACGGCCACCTTGAATTCTTGTCTAATTTACTATATAATCACTGCCTGGCCCAGTAAGAGGCACTCTGCAATATCTAAACAAATAAATATGTCAAGGTTGAGTGTACACTGGCTCATGAGGATCTATTTTTTTAAAGCTTTTATTTATGTGTATGAGTGTTCTATCTGTATGTACACCTGCATAAGAGGGCATCGGATCCCAGTATAGATGGTTGCTGGGAATCAAACTCAGGACCCTGGAAGAACAATGCTCTTAACCACTGAGACATTTCTCTAGCCCCCAGGTTCCATTTTTGACCAACAAAATGAAGCTTCATTACAAAACCTGCCAATTTACCTTTGTCTCCTGGGGCTATCTCCTGCGCCTTCTTAAGATCGGCCTACAATGGAGAAGAGAATTTAAGAAACATTAGACATTAAGACTTTAACTGTGACTATTATACAACAATGAGAAGAAAATTTACCAAGGCTTGATCATATTCTTTTAATCCTTGCCATCCTTGTGCTTTGCGGTATAGTGCTTTGGTATTTGACGGGTCCATCTCAAGAGCCTATGAAAAAGTTGTAACATCAGTATTTGTATCTAAAAGTGAGTGTTATCAACGGGCTCCAACTCACTGGAGCTAGAGCACCCGTGCTCTACCAGCACAAAGTAAGAGTATTGAGTGGTTGTGTCTCCAGAGTGCTTCTCTCAGCACTGGTTTCTAGCCCAAGTGGACCCAGACTATTCAAGGAAAAAACAAACAAACAAAAACATTTTAATTAAAGTTAAATACAGTTATGTTTTGATACTTTGTTATTGGTTCAAGAATGGTCCACCACCTCCTAAAAACCAAAATCCACAGGTACACAAGTCACTTGAATGCCATGTAAATATTTGTCCAGCTGTGTTTATAGGTAATGATGAAAATAAAGTCTACATGTTTATCACAGAATAATATTCAACCTGTGGTTGGACAATCTGAGAACCCAGGGACATGGCGGGGCCAATTATATTCTGAGCATGAACAACTTTTAATAGATCTCTCCCCTGAGACATTTTTAAGCTATATTGTTTACATAACAGCTCTTAAAAGAGCCAACACTGAGAAATTTTTTTCTTAAGATGGACAATTCTGACTTACAGAAGATGCAGAGTGGACCTTCTCTCTTGCAAACTTTCCTCTATGCACATTCCCTTCTAAACACATGTGTATACATTTCTTGTTATTCATTCTATCTACTTAAGCAAGGGCTAATGGGAGGGCCAGGACTGAAGGGCAGCCTTGTGAACACTACACAAGTACTACTGTGCCACTGAGCTGCACAACCAGGTCTTACTGAGCACAGGTGCATGCTCTAGGTTTAATGTGCAAAAAAACATTTAGTCTCGAAACTTTTAAAAAGTACCATTCAGTGTACATGGATGGCCTTTACTAGGACAAAATATCTTTCTGTTTACTCTAGTAGTAACTAATCTTAACACCAAATAAAAACTGTCTGCCCATTGGATCCTATCAGGATCTAGGATTTAAAAAATAAAAGTAGCCAGCAACATGGCTCAGGGGTAAAGGCACTTGCCATGACAGCCTCTGGAACCAACCTAAGGTGGAAGGAAAGATCGGACTCCACAAATATTGTCTTCTGCCTCTTGCACTCACTGTGGCACATGGACACAAAATTAAGTATAAAGTAAAAATAGCCCCACCTAGCATGGTGGTAACATGCCTGATCCCAACACTTGAAAGGACAGGCAGGAAGACCTAGTGTGAGGTCAACCTAAAGTATATAGTAAGACCATGTTTCAAAAAAGCCAAGCCTGCGCTCAGGATGTATCTCCGCTGTAAAGCAAAACACAAAACCCTGCTTTTGAAACAGGGTCTCTGTCACCTAACAAAGGATAGCTATGAGTTTCTCATCTTCCTACCTCTACCTCCACAGTGCTGGGATTACAGGTCTAGGCCACCACACTCTTACCTCTATTCTTAATCATTCTTGGTTTTGTGTTCATATATGCCCAGCTCATAAATACAAATAAATAAGCACATAAATATGCTTTGAGAAATAAAAGCAGTTAGTACATATTAAGTGACAGTATTAAAAGCAAAATTAAGATTATCAAAAAGAACTGATGTGCCAAAATATTTGGAAACAAGACTTAAGTTACATTTTGTCAAGCCTCATTAGGTCCTAGGCAATTAAAATACATTAAGGACTATTGCCTTTTTCTAATTTGTACGTCTAAATCCTACTCCTCCCAATCAACATCACAGACTTACCTCCAAACAACTGTCAATTGCTCCCTGCCAATCTGACATCTTCAGTTTACAAGCACCAATATTCAGCACACAACTTAAGGCTATAGGTTGCAGTCTGGATAGATCTGCTTTCTCAACAACAGCCTTCGAACTATCCATGTACCTGGAAAACGTATTAATAAAAGAAACAGGGAACTCCACACTGCTTCAACACTGTGGTTGGTATTAAAGGTCCATCTAATACTTTATGATCACAAGTTTTTGATGATGCTTTTTCTTCAGATGCAAGAAATTAAACCCAGAGCCTGCTAGGCACACCTTCCTGCTACTGAACTACATTCCTAGCCCTATTTTTCTATAGGATATTTTTACATCAACTTTTCCCCTAAGTTAACTAATATTAGCTCCCATATCTAATTATGTACAACTCAGGTTCATATTACATATTTTCCAATTATGTTTAGAACCAGTATTCCTAGACAATTAAATTCAATGGAAAGAGGCTAAGAACTAAGTAGTGTTGATTTTTCAAACTACTGTGTTTGAGTATGGGTGCCAGGTAGCATAGTGTGTATGCAGAGATCAGAGGACAACTTTGGGTAGGCAGTTATTTCCTTTTACTGTGGATTCAGGGTTGGTCACAGGATTGTTAAATAAGTCCTTTTACTCACTGAGCTATTTAGTCATCGATGTAATATTAACTGTTTCCTGAAAGTTAAGCTGAGTATTAACTGTTTAGTAGTATTAACTGTTTAATAGTATTAACTGTTTCCTAGAAGTTAAGCTGAGGATCTGGTCCTAGAACTTAGTTTCTAACATTTCCTTTCTCCATAGGGAATTGACGCAGAGAAACTGCTTATTCCAGATACAAAAGCAAGTAGTTATAAGAGCAAGTGCTATAGTACTGTTGTAACATTCAAGCTGGGAATGTAGCTCAGAGTGCTTATCTAACATGCCAGGGACCCTGGGAACCCCCAGCATCTCAAACAAACAAACCAAAATAAAAACAAGGAAGAACTGATGACCTCAGTTTGGCCAATGGCAACCCACATGGTGGAAGAGAACAGACTCCCAAAACTTGTCCTCTGGCCTCCTCAAGCACTCTTGCAATGCAATTAAAAATAAGCAGAGTTTTAAACACCCAGATTTACTATGGCTTAGTGAGGAAGAAGGGCTGGCTCCTACAGAGAAATGCCATCTTATAAATGAATGTTAAAACTCAAGAACCAAGCTCTCCAACAGTCACTGTAGTCATCTCACAAAGGTGCTTCAGTGACACTACCACAAACAGTGTCACAGTATCACTTTCTATTCACACAGGGGCAAAGGTACATCAGATGATATCATGCTTATCTAACATGCTTGATCAAGTGCCCAAATACAAAACAGTGCGTGTTATCTTAAGAAATACAGAACATCACCCTACCATACCTCTTTCCAAAATATGCAAGCTCGTGATCCTAAAGAAACAATTATGTATATGACAACTGACTTACTGGGACACCACAAAGGTAAGGGATGCTGAAGACAGCTCAGCTGGTAAATAAGCAAGAGGACCCGAGTTTGGCAGCACCCCCTCTCCAACCTCATATACACGTGTTGGACAAGTGGAGCATCACTAAGGCTGGAACCTGGAAGATGCTGGAGGCTCACCACCCAACCAGTCTAGACTAATTGGCAAGCTCTAAGCCAATAAGAGACTGTCTCAAAGGAGGGAGACAATGTCCCTGAGGATGACAGCCAATGTTGAACTATGGCCTCCACATGATTTTATATGTGTGGCCAAAGGATGCCTCGAAAGTAAAGATAATCATGACAGCCTGTGTTCAATCCCAGGACCCACGTGGCAGAAAAGAGAACTAATTCCCACAAGTTGTCCTCTGAACTCTACTCACATGCTGTGGTACACACAAATTATAAATATTTTAAAAGAGTTAAAAAAAAAAAAAAAAAAAGGCCCTAGAGGGGCCAGCGCCGATGACTCATGCTTTAAATCCCAATAGGCCCTGGTTTTGGGTGGTGGGGTGCTACACACAGAATAAGACAGATCTGTGGGTCTGAGACCAGCCTGGTCCACATAGCCAGTCCCAGGCCGGCCAGAGCCACATATAAAACCCTATCTGAGGGTTGGGGAATGGGTGTGATGACCAGGAAGAGAAAAGCAGTATTACAGCTCCTTAAACTTGCACTCTGAATCAGAAAAGAAAAAAGGTGAGACAATGTAAAACAGGCTCCATACTTATACTGCCAGTGTTGCCTTATGGAGAGGGTGTACTCTGCCTCAGGAGCGCAGCTGATTTAGATTGCCCTTGCTCTTGCTTATGGAGAGGGTGTACTCTGCCTCAGGAGCGCAGCTGATTTAGATTGCCCTTGCTCTTTCTGGAGGACACTAAGTGCTGACATACTTCGGGCTGGATTGTTGGTGTAGCCCTGGGACTATCCTGGAGCTAGATCTGCAGACCAGGCTGGCCTCCCCCCAAATCAAAGATCTACCTGCCACTACCTCTGCCTCTGCAGCGCTAGGATTAAAGGTGTGCTACACACCAGGCAAGAAATGTTCCTCTTTCAATACACTGTTCATTACACAAATAACTTGCTAAATATGAGCGATTCTGCACTTAGTTCATAATTCAGTTTACACATTCTAAAAAGTAACTTATTAAAAATGTTTTTTTACCTTAATACTTTCGCATATTTTTTAATTGCCATCTCCCAGTTCTGAGACTTGAAAAAAGTATTTCCAATGTTTTTTAAGTCTTCAGCTATTAATAAAATTTTATCTACCTGTATAAAAGATTACAAGTATGTTGGGTGTTAGTAAATAATGTTAACTTAACACAAAGGTTCTATCATAATGACAGGCTGACCAACCTTCTAGTACTAAGTACTTTAATTAACTTAAGTAATTAAAGTTTATTCATCTGGAAGTACTTACATCTTTTAAATCTATATCTGCATCTTCAGGGAAATCTGGATGATTATCACCAGAGCCATCTTTGGGGAATATTCCCCAATCATCCCCTTCTTTCAATTCTCCACATTCTGCAATAACACACAGCTGTAAAAATGTGAAACGGAAGTGAGTATCTGAGATCTTAACGTCTACTTTTAAAGGCTGCATGGCTCAAGGGTACACACACTACTACTCATGTCAAAGATGCATCCATCTGCTATAATTACAGCAGTTTCCTCTTAGTCCAACAGTGTCACTATTTACAGCATTTACTGTTAGTACTATGAACATGATGAGCTGAGAACCACATCACACATATGAAGCTGTCATGTATGACTGGCCAGCATACTTGTAGCAGTAACTGGGCTTCTAACCCTCTACACTGTCTTGTTGCTTTATGGGTCTCACAGCCACGCTGTCCCATGGGTATTTAGAATACAATACAACCTGAAACAATCGAGCAGTTTATACAGGGTGTAAAAACACATTAAGAAAAGCCACAAGATCTGTGCCGAACTCCTAGTGAAACAGTAGTGTACTGTCTTCTTTCTAGTGTGCACTATAGTCAACTATTGACACAAGTCTCACGGGTATGGGAACACTTAGGCAATCTAACGTAGATCACTTTGTTAGATCACACTTAAGCTGAAATAAGTACTAAAATCTCTTTGTTGGACAAAGAGTCCAACAAAGTAGTCCTTGAGTAGCATGAGCAGAGACAAAAGGACTACTGGACAATTCAAAGAAAGCCAGGTCTACGTTTCCTGGGGAAAACAACAACTCCAAAAAAGAAACAAACAAACAAACAAACAAACAAAAAAGCCCCAGCCTCCTTTACCTAATCTTCTTAACCATTGATTTTAAAAAGTTTCAAAGGAGAAGGAGGCTACAGCTGGGATACAAAGTGAATAAATTGTAACTAATAAAAAAATGAAAAAAAGTTTCAAAGGAAAGTGGCCAATTCAGACTCCTTTAGCAAACCATCCTAACTTCTTTCCTACTTTTCTAGGCGACAACCACCTGACCCTGTAACCTGCATGTCTTTGACACAGTAGCTAAGCTGGTGTCTATTTCACTGTAACTTTTACTTACTTTGGCAGGTTTTTCACCATTCACTTCTACGTTTTCAAGCATCCTCGCCACACCTAGTCCTTTAATTACTTGACCAAATACCACATGTTTCCCATCCAGGTGAGGAGTCGGAACTGTTGTGATAAAGAACTGAGAACCATTTGTATTGGGGCCTGCATTTGCCATGCTCAGCAAACCCTCCTGGTCATGCTGCAGAGATAAAAATCATTACAAGAAAAACAAAGTTAGAGGCCTAATATGATTTTCCCTGTATTGACTCTTCACCTAAAATAGATGGGGTGTACTGCTAAACTTTACTCTTCTACATCAACTGCACATATACACGTTTGTTACTTCTTGTCTCTGATTTACTTTAAGAAAATCAGAGACGGAGTTCATAGCACTAACAGATACCTTAAACGAACAGAACTGGCCATCTGCAAGAGAGGCTTACACTTCAATCTTAAAGATGAAGATTCCACAGCAAGGAAATCTAATAGGCTACTCTGCTCTTTTTGTAACGGCTATTTTTCTGAGAACCCCTGTACAGTCCTTCCACACTCAGAAATAGGCCTACATTATGATTCTTCTTTTTCACTAAACTGAAAACAGTAATGTAGTACTGAATTTGACAAGTTACTCAGATAAATACTTCCAATCTATGGCTTTCCTTCAGGCAAATCAATGACTCAGACTATGCAAAAGAACATGTTTCAAGCAGTCTGTTGAAGCGCAAGCCAGCTTCTTTGCTTTGCACAGCTTAGGCTTCCTGAACGCATGCCTCTAGTGCACACCTCTCAACTCCTGGGCTACTTTCCTACCCGAGACACCTTGGTCCCATCAATCTAAGTCTCACTCCGTTTCCAAGGTCACCGAATCTGCACAATGCCAGAGGCAAGTCTTTTCCTTTTGCCTCCTTTCCTTTATTCATTGCAGTGGTCAGAAAAGCCTCAGTTATTCTTTTCTTTTCCTTGGCCTTCCACTACCTTTTCCCCATTGCTGTCATTACTTTCCTTTTCAAATCTGTATTTTAGACCTGGTCTATTCGTCTAGCATAAGTGTTCAAGCCTCCTCACTGCCTCTCCTAACCTGAACTATCTAACATTTCTCCTATCACAGGAGCTGGGTGTAGTCCCACATGCTCTTAATCCCAGCACTCAGAAAGCAGAGACTGCTGATCTCTGTGAGTTCAATGCCAGCTTGGTTTACACAGCTAGTTCCAGAGGTTGAACATTCCTAATCCGAAAACCAAGGTCCAACATGTTACAAAATCTGAAACTTTTGAGCAACAACTTTCAGATTTCAGATGCAGGATGCTCAACCTATAAAATTATGCAAACATTTCAAAATCCAAATAACTGAAATATTTCTAGCCCAGAGCATTTCATAAGGGACACTCAACTTGTATCAAAGTCATACAAACAAATATATTCAATCAATTTACCACTTACATGTGTTATATTATGTATTGTTATCTTCCACAGTCCCTTGTATTTTAATCTTGACTCTGAGGTAAGATTATAAGTCATTTCTTATAAGCTCTCTGGTGCAATGACAGAAGTGAGCAACAGAAATTCTCTCTGCAAGTCATCCTTATTACCTTGCCTATATGCCTCATTTCCAAAGACATCACTTTACTTTTGTACTTACATGTCTGTTCTTAAAACGGGAATGGTGCAATATACCCCGAACATTAACCATATCCGCTAGGTGGGAAATCCCCTGACATCCTGGATATTAGCGATGGTTTTGTTCTTCAAATTCAAGGATAAAGATGCACAAGTTACCATCCTTACAATAATGACAACATTTTTTGCTGGGATCAACTTTGCCATATGGGAGCTTAAAAACTCACTGGCTTAACTGAAGCATATAAAAACTGACTGTAGTGAAATAAGCACAGTATTTTGGCCAAAACATCATACTGGCTAGGTATGATATTGTTTATCTGTCATTCCAGCACTCAGGAGGCAAAATGCAGAAGGATGGTAAATTCAGGACCACCCTGGACTACACAGTTAAACCCTGGCTCCGAAAGCAAAACTGTTACTGGATAAATCCCTTCCACATTAAAGATGAACAGTGAACTGGTGTATAGCTTGTGTGGCAGAGAACTTGGCTGGCATGCAAAAGACCCTGAGCTCACACCCAGTACCACACAACCTTAGAAAAGCTTATTTATAAATATAATTTCTTTTATAAGAAAAGTATAGCCCATACCATGCTGACAAAGATTTATAAGCTTAGCTCCTAAGGCGGGTAAGTAAAAAAAGGACTAGGAGTTCTCAGCTACAGTGAGTTTAAAGCTAACCTGAGCAACTAGGCAAGCCCCAGTTTCAAAACAGAAAATGGGAGTAAGGTTAGCTAAGTAATGGAGTGCTTGCTGGGCATAAAAGGCCCTAGCACCAGAAGGAGGGCCTAGCACCAGAGGGGAGGGAGGTCAGCATTCTGGCCACAAAGATTTTTTTTTTTTTTTTTTAGTATCTTAATCCAGGTGTATTTCAAATATATAATCTTTATATTAACAAAAACAAGAATTTTTTCTTTACCTTATAATGAAAATTTTCATCTTCAAATTTTTCACCATAAATACTTTCTCCACCTGTACCATTATGATTTGAGAAGTCTCCACCTTGAATCATAAATTTCTTAATAACTGAAAAAAAAGGAATAGGACTATTAGTAACTGAAACAGGTGATCTCGGCAATGCTAACTAATGAAAAATAAAAGAGAACTTCCTAAGCACAACTTCAGTCATGTACCTGGCCTTTCTCCCATGTCCTCACCCCATCAACTCTACCTGGAAGACTTCTCAAAACATAACTCCAACATATATTTTACTAACAACTCCCCACCAACTCAAGAAATTATTCTTTGCACAAATTCAAAGGTATCTCCCTGTATAAAACTGTCACCAAGAGGGGCATAGGAGAATAGGGAGAGTGAATGGGGTTGGGAGAGGGTGGAGGAGGGGGCTACAACTGGGATACAAAGTGAATAACTGTTATTAATAAAAATAAAATAAAAATTAAAAAAAAAATGTCACCAACACATAGAAGGCAGACCTAGTTTGCATCACTATGCTAACTCTACTTACGTTTTATAAAATGTAATAATCTTGTCCCTTCCAACAATGAGTATCATTTTATTCCTTGAAAATATGTATCTGCTCAGTAATGCCTGCTAAATAAACATTAAAATCCCTAATAGTGTTGAACAAACAATTAGGACCAAACCTAGAGCCTCACATATGCTAGGAATGCATGCAAGAGATTTTTTTTCGTACACTTAATGACAATAGTTTGGCATGGCCTTTTAAAGGTTTCCAAAACCATCCACCTCCTGATCAGAGAAGTATAGGTTCATGGGACTCGGCATTTGGCTACACTGCAGTGATACAGCTGGCCAAGAGACAAGGAAACATAGTTGGGTGGATCCATGTGCAGCTGCCCTGGGCTTGCTCCCTCTCTTAAGTTACACAACTTACATTTCTCCTAGCAACAGACTCAGAAAAGCCTGCAATAATTCTTAATTCTGCCCAAGTCCAAGCAGCAGAATCCCAAGACCCCAAAAATATTTTTATATAAATTTATACAAATCATGAAAAGTATTCTCTGCCTAACATGTTCCAACATTCCAGAATTAAAAATACGTTTTGTATCAGTTACATTTGTAAAAATAGTATGGGTCTATAATCACCAGCCGTGTGACTTCATTCCCCAGTGCCAGCTCTAGCCAACTGCTATTTTTAATAGCTACAGTGCTCTTCCTGTAAGTGGCCAAAGGTGACCTGTACAGATGGTTCGCTACTCTCTGGACCCATAAAACCCTATGAAAGCATGCAAATCAAGGGGTTCAAATCTTCCTTTTCTCTAAGAACACACAGGAAACAGCTCAGGCCATCATGGGTATGCATATCTGAAAAGCCACTAAGTATCTGAAAGAAGTCACTGTAGAGAAGCACTGCATGCCATTCTGGCAATATATAATGGTGGCTTCAGGAGGTGCGCCCAGGCCAAGCAGTGGGGCTGGACTCAGGGTTGGTAGCCAAGTGAGAGTGCTGCATTTTCGCTGCACACGCTGAAAAATGCAGAGTAATGCTGAACTAAGCGCTTAGATAGAGATTCTCTAGTCACTGAACATATCCAGGCCAACAAGGCCAGATTAACCCAGGTATGACTCCCCTACCACTGAGATGATCCTCAGGGAAAAGGAACAAACTGTTTTAAAGCCAAAAGAGGAGGATGAACAGAAGGAAAAAAGATATCCCAGAAGAAACAAAAACTTCCAGCACAGGAATAAATTCAGCATAAAGTGCAGATAAAAGTGAAAAATAAATAGCACTATTTTCTTTTCTTTTCAGCAGTATTTATGTGTATGTTTAAGTATGTAAATGAATGTCATAGGCTGGAGAGATGACTAGGAGGGTAAGAACACTGCCCGCTCTTCCAAAGGTCCTGAGTTCAATTCCCAGCAAGCACATGGTGTTGCCCTCTTCTGGTGTGCTGGTACATGCAGGCAGAGTACTTTAACACATAAATAAATAAATCTTTAAAAAGAAAAAAAAAGTCACATATGTGCCGTGCCTTCAGGGGCAGCTCCTGGAGTCCCTGAAGTTATAGTCACAAGAGGCTGTGAGCCAATAAACATAGATACTGGGAACCCACCTTGGGTCATCTCAGAACAGGAAGTGCTCTTAACTGCTCAGTCATCTCTCCCCAGGTTAACTGTTTTCTAGATAGTTTTATTAGGTATAATTTTTTTTTTTTTGGGGGGGGAGTGTTTTTTTGTTCAGAAAGGGTTTTTCTGTGTAGTACTGGCTGTTCTGGAACTCACTCTGCAGACCAGGCTGGCCTTGAACTCAGAGATCTGGCTGCCTCTGCCTCCTGAGCTAGCATACTTCTATTAAATACAAAAGTAAATAAAGTTTAAAACTTTAAAAAAAAAAAAATCAATGTTCATTTTTCTTTTTCTTTTCTTTTCTTTTTTTTTTTTTTTTTTCCAAAACAGGGTTTCTCTGTGTAACAGTCCTGGCTGTCCTGGAACTCACTTTGTAGACCAGGCTAGTCTCAAACTCAGAAATACACCTATCTTTGCCCCCAGAGTGCTGGGATTAAAGGAGTGTGACACCCCTGCCTAGAACTCATTTTTTTTTAATAAATACTATTTTTAAAAAAATTGTGTAAATTGGAGTATAATACCTTAGATTCAATCCCCTGAAATACAGAAAAATTACTGATACTGTTTATAATATTTATATTTACTGGGTGCTTAGACTTTTATTAGCTTCAAAAATAAAATGGTGAGGGCATGTTGCTCCTGAATGTAAGACTACTGAACCTAAAGACACTGGGAAAAAAATAAATAAAAAGACACTGGGACAATGGTCAAATAATCTGTGTGAAATGACAGTTAATCACACATTACCAGTGGGCCCAAGACATTAAATGTTAAACACTTCTCAAACAATTCTGCCCAGGCTGTAAAATGACCTATGGTCAGCTTATTTATCTGTCATGCTACCCCCACCCCCAATGAAATGGTTTGAAGAAGAAAGTCAGAAGACTTGTGAAGCCAGGGTTGCCCATGTCACGGCCATAACCTTTAGCTGTTCTCACAATCCCACTGCTCACTGCCAGCCTTTATAGCACTAAGCTAGCACTTGTGTCCAAGTATCCTTCAAGAAATTCAGCAGTGAGGCCTTTCCCGAAACCTCACTTCTGCAGTTGTTCCTGAAAGCAGGACTGGCATGTGCACCAAGATTCCCAAACAGAGAAGTTGATATACGTACTTCGGTGGAAAGGGCATCCTTTAAAATGGAGCGCTTTCCCAGTTGTGGAGCCAGTGCCTTTTTCTCCTGTACACAGCGCACGAAAATTTTCTGCAGTTTTGGGAACAATATCTGCAAACAATTCTAAAACAATTCGGCCAACTGAAGGAAAAGAAAAGGTAATCTTGTCAGTGTGCAAAGTAACTAAATGGACAAACAAAAAGGAGCACACCTAACCAGTGGTTAACAGAGCTTTCTTTTAACATGTTATTAACTATAGTCACAATGTTGTTTAACAGACCTTTTGAGCTTACTTATCTTAAATTGAAATTATGCACCTTTGAAATCTCCTCAGCCTGTGGTACCTATCATGAGTTCAACATTTTAAAGATCCCACAAAAGTGAGATCCTATTTCACTCCGCATAATATCCTCTAGATTCATGTAGTCAAAAATAAGATTTCTTTCTTTTAAAAGGCAGTGTCATAATCTACTGTGTACACAGCACATTGTATGCATATACATGCTTGCTAGATACCAGATTGGTGCAGTATGCAGGCTACTGTGAATCTGCTGCAACACCACAGGTATGCATACAAACTTCATTTCCTTTGGATAACCATGGAACTGTTAGATATTATTTTTAAAAAGATTCCTGTTTAGTCTAAGGAAAGCTTTGTATATCTAAACTTGAAACACCACACAGAAGATTATAATCAATTACAGCATCCAGGTGATTAGCAGCATAGGAAAGACACCATGAGTACAAATGGTTTCAAATCCTGAATCATTTAACCAATATTCAGACTTAAAAATAAGTATTCATTCTATATGTGGGACTGAGGCATGCAGTGGGGAAATCAGGAGACAACTTCTGGCAGTCAGGGTTGGTGGCAGGCACCTTTACCTACTGAGCTATCTCTCAGTGGCCCTATATTCAGAATTTCTAATCGCCATGTAACCAACAGAAGACAAACAGTGCAGCAAAGGTCAGAGTGGCTGGCGTTTTCAGACTTAACCATTCTCTGCGCTGTATGGAAACTGCCTATTGCAGCCTCTGAAATGGTTCTACTCTCAGCAACCATGGTTCCGAAACACAGTGAATGCACATGTAAATGCGTGTACCCATCCCATTAAGTCTGTCCAGCAACTCTATAACATGTTTCAGGGTAAGTCCAATTCAGTTACAAGGAATGTTACTCCCCATCCAATTCACAAGGGCTGCAAACAGTAGTTCTCAACCCTCTTAATGCTGCGACCCTTTAGTACAGTTCCTCATCATACTTGTAATTTTGCTGTTATGAATCGTAACGTAAATATCGGATATGCCGGGAAAGCAGCTCTGTGAAAGGGTCGTTCGAAACCGACTCACGGGATGAGAGGCGCCGGCTTAGGGCTTCTTGGCTCTGAATCCAAGGCAACCATCCAGCCATAGCGCTCGATTTCCTTATGCCAAGCCGCAGAAACGATCGCCTCCCCTAAAGGGCTACTATAATCAGTAAGGAAAAAAGCACTAAGCAAATAAGTCTCTTAAATTTGTAAATGACACGGTAGCTCCCGATGTATTTCACGTGCCAAGTGGCACATGGTGGAACTAGAGCCCCGCGGATATCCAGCGAGCACCCCGATCTATCCATCTCAGTCATCAAATCATTTTATTTTATAGTAAGTGGCGGCGCAAAGGCTGCAGGAAGTACGACCAAATATAGAGACAAACGTGAAGGGACGCCACAATTCCTGAAGCAGAAATTTCCAGAAACTTCCGGGGGAACTACGGAAGAACTACCATCGCCTACAAGGCAGAGGGGCTCAGTGTGGACTCGCGGACGCCAGGTCGTGCTCCGGGTGGGAGCCAGGCTGCAATCTCCCTCCGCCTCCCAGGTGCCGAGCCGCCTAACGGCCGGCGGGCCGAGCGGAAGAACCGCGGCGGGGAGGCCCGGGCGGAGGGTGGCTGAGCCGTTCGGACCGCTCACCTCGCTCCCCTCCGATGTCTACGTCAAAGAAGACCCGCGGGTTCTGGGGGCTGGAGGGCTTGGCCGCCGGGGATGGATGCGACATCTTCTCTGCGGGCGCTGGGAGTCAGGACGCGGGAACCCCGTGCGCGAGAGAGGCTCAAACGCCACCGTGTCTCTACGTGACAAACGGGAGACACGCGCAGGAGCCACTTCCTGCGCGCAGCCGGAAGCTGCACGCTGGTTTCCGGGGACGTCGTCCTCTCTTCCGGTTCCGGAGCGTGGCAGTCAGGTCCTGCCTCTCTGCAGTGGCAGAGCGGTGCTTCTGTGCTTCGAGACCTGAGTTTGATCCCCGGAGTCCACAAGGTGGAAGGAAAGAGTGTCATCACCCAGTTGCCGTCTGACCTCCACGTGCCTGTCGCAGCGTGCACGCAAGCGCGCGCATACATACGTTTAGAGATTGGGGTTTTGGGTGTTAATGCCCGCCTGCCTCGGAAAGGCGTTTTGGAGATTAAAGACGGACATAAACTTGTGGCATCTTATCAAAAACAGCTGTCCTGATGTTACCATATTGACTATGACATAAGTGACCCAGTCTAGAACAAAGGCTCCGAATGCGCTGATATTGAGAACACAGAAAAGGACGCGTTTGACTTGTGTTAAAACTGCATATGCTGTCATAGTTTACTTATTTTTTCCTGTGGGCGTGATGTAAAATGTACATCGTAAAGCTGAGTGTGGTTTTTCCCTCGCTGAGGAGGTAGAGACAGGAGGTTCCACATAAGTTGCAGGCCAACGTGAGCTATGCAAGTAAGACCCTTTTTTTTTTTTTTTTTTTTTTTTTTTTTTTTTTTCAAAAAATAAGAAAGTACATTTAAAACACGAGTATGTTTGGCATAGATCTGTTATACCAGAAGTCGGATCCCAAGCCAGGAGGATTAAGTCAGCATGGGCTACGTAAAGAAGTGCTCGCTCTCCAAAAAGAAAAAAAAAAAAAAAGAGGTTAAACTTCTTTTTAAACACAAGCCAGGTGGCACTTTCCTGTATATTCAGCACTTAGGAGGTAGAAACGGGAAGATGGACAGTTCCAGGTTAGTCAGGACTGTAGAATGAGACCTAATCTTAAAAAAATAAAAGTAAATTTAAAAAAAGAGCCCAAGTTCGTGCCCAGCACGTGTGGTACGGTCTCCCCGCTATAATCAACAGTACCAGGGGTTTTAGAGCCGCCAGTCCATATGAAATTGTCTCAAGTCTGAAGTATGTGTAGAGCAGCCTCCAGAGCCAGGCGCTTTGTGTGGCTAGCAACAGCCAGGAGGGCCTTTTGGAAGGGAAGCACAGCAGACATAACTGCGATCATCCTTTGATATGAAGATTCGTCCTGCTCCCTGCTAGTTTTAGGATATGTAAAATTTAGAGTTATAAAAACCAACTAATCCCTATTCTGATCTTGAAGCAGGCTGTAACATTATATACCAGATAGAACTAAGCACTAAAGTTGATTTGCTATTGTTTGGTTTTTGTTTTGAGACAGGATCTTGCTGTGAAACTATGATCATCTAATCTAGCACTCACAGTGTAGAGAAAATTAGCCTCAAACTTGCAGGAGTCCTGCCTGCCTCCCAAGTGTTGGGGTTGTAAGCACAGACCATTAAGCTCAATTTCTGCAGTACTGGAGTCTCCTTCATATTAGAGTTAAGCATTCTACGAACGAAGCTGCATCCCTAGTCCCAAAGCTGACTTTTTGTTTTTACAAGAGGCAATTTATTGTTGTTCTGTTTGTTTGAGACAGGGTCTCTATTATATAGACACGCTAGCCTCAAATTCTTATCTCTCTGGAACTATAAACCCAAACTCTTTCTTCTCTAAGTTGCCTGTTCGTGGTATTTCATCACAGCAATAGAAAAGTAACTAAAACAGGTAACTAGGACAATTAAAACCTTACACTAAAACGGTCTCTCTCGTGTCTGGGCAGAAGGTTGGTCACTTATATTTGTCTTACGTATTGCAATGACAAACTAATTAATCTATTGCTCTGGGATCTGGGCAGATGTCTGACTCAGTAAGCAGGAGGACCTGAATTTGGAATTCCATCACCCACACAAAAGCTGGGTAAGGTTGTCACACCTGTGAGTCCAGTCTAAGGAAGATGATTCCTAGAGCTCATTGGCCAGCCTCGCTAAACTGATGAGCTCCAGGTTAAATAAGAGACCCTGTCTCAACAAACAAGATAGAGACCTACAGAGGAAGACAGCCCACTTCAAACTCTGGCTTCCACATTCACACACACCCCAGACAAACATGTACAGACAACACCCAAACACACACACACACACCTGTCATTCTTATCTACCAGCTTGAAAATAGTTTGAGGCCAGCCTGGAATGCATAGAAAGACTGTATCAAAAAGAAAAAACCAAGAAGGAAGAGAGGGAAAGAAAAAGGAAAGAAAGGGCAAAGGTGTGTCGAGAATGCTGCTTCATCTTTATGAGAAGAAAAAGCTGAACTGGACAATTACTCTGTTGTACAAGTTTCTGGGTGTAAAAACTCATCCAAATGTTACTCTCACGCTATCTAGGGTTGTTCCCCACACACACACACACACAGTAACTCAGCTTTTTATAAAACTGTCATATTACTAGAACCAAACCAAATGAGAGAATCAGACTTTTAAAAAATCGCGTGTCTGTGTGTGAGTTTGTGCGTGTGAATTCAGGTGTCCACAGGGGCCAGAAGAGGGTGTCAGCTCCCCTGGAGTTGGAGTCATCTGCAGTCATCATCCTGCTTATGTAGGTACTGGGAGCCAAACTCTGGAAGGGTCCTCTGGAAAAGCAGCAAGCTCTCTTGACTTCTGAGGCCAACTCTTTGACCCTAAGGATCAAGCCTTTGAAATCATTCAAGACCAGATCTCTAATGAAAAGACAAACTTCGCAAAAACCACTGGCTCCACCAACATCTTCTTTCCAAGGACAGGTCTCCTGGGCCCTGACATCTCAGCAAGGAACAGAGCAGAAAATCTGCCTCTTAAGCTGAGGAACTGGCTTCCCCAGACAGAGAGGAGCATTGTCTGAGACCATCACCATTCTAATTTTATCCTGTCAGCTTTTCACAAGCACAAGACGATATTCACGCATCCTACCCTCTTCAGCTCTCCTTGCACATCACTCCATCACAAGCAGCTAAGCATTCTGTGTGCATTGCTTCAAGAGAAAGAGGTGTCTTCCAGGCCTTGGTGTTGCAGAAGACAATTTTTCAAAAGTGAAAAAAAACTTTTTGGACGTAGTAAGAGTTGAAAAACAAACAAAGATCTTCAGGTTTTTCACAGTTTTGTTTTGTTTTCAGGGTTTCTCTGTGTAGCCCTGACTTCCTTAAAACTCTCTCTGTAGACCAGAGATCCACCTGTTCCTGACTCCAAAGTACTGGAACAAAGGCATATGCCACTACTGCCTAGCTCCAAACCCATCTTTTGTGTGTCCATCTTGCTTTTTATCTCAAAAGAAAATACAACAGGGCATGAGAGTTCATGCCCACACTCCCAGCACTCAGGAATCAAAAGCAGGTGGATCTCTATGAATGTGACCCTGGCTTGCTCCACAATAATGAGCTCCAGGCCAGCTAGAACTATATAGTAAGACCAACTAAATCACTAAGAAGTGCCCATTCCTGTTCTAGGAAAGAATGACAGAAGAGAGTAGGAGGAAAGCAGGGCAAGGCAGCTTGCCATTTCACAAGAGTTGGGAAGATGGATTGATAACCGATTGATTGACCATATCAGCCATCATATCTCTGGGAACCGACAAGCATTCACAGATAAGCTAAAGAGATTTAAGAGCAGAGACCAGGCATGCTAGCACCTAATCAGCCTAAGGTGGACTGCAGGCCACAGAAAGCAAACTTTGGCTCATGGAGGAAGCAAGAAGCTGGGAAGTACACAGGCTCCCAACATTCCTATGTACTCAGGTGTGGGGGTACACACCTGTAAGCTAAAGTAAATCAATAAAGAAAATCAGGAGTAAAAAAGTAAAAAAAAATCAGGAGGCTAAAGTAAAAAAAATCAGAAACTCGAGGCCATCCTAATACACAGTAAGACCCTACCATCAGGGAAAAGGAAAGGGAAAACAAGCCCCTCACTCAAAGGAGTTTGTAGGAGGGAGCTCTGAACTCAGTAGAAGACCATGAAACAGATGCCTGAGTTCAGCTGATGAGCTGGGTACACGAATGCTACATAGGGAAAATCTATCTTGAAAAACAAAACAAAACAACAACAACAAAAAAAGAGGGATCCTCATAGGTTGACAATGATCAAATTACCAATCATTTGGAAGCGACTATTTGAAATTAGCACTGTAATCCCAATTCTTGGATGGCTGAGGAAGTGAGATTGTGAGTGCAAAGCCAGACTGGGCTACAGTCTCAAATTACCAGGACACAACACTGGGAGGAGAAAGAAGAAAGGGAATGGAAAGGAGGAAGGAAGGGGAAAGGAGCAAGTGGAGAAAGAAGGAAGGGGAGATGAGGGAGGGGGAGGAGTCAGAAAATAAGGGAACCCCAAATTGAAATCTAAAGTTACAGACAAATAAGTCTGAGCCTTTACATGGGCATAGGCGACGGATCATTGTAGTCCCTACCAGGACTCCAGGCAAATTTGAAATGCCCAACCACTCTCAAAGGTAACAAGTTAGAAAGAACAAGATGAGAAACGAAGTTGCAGGTCCTTTGTGTACTGTCGGGCTCTGGTTGTAAAACTGGACCTAAATAGGGTTAAACTGTTAAGTGGATAAGGGCCCACGTTGTGCTGAAAGTCGGCCTCGTGCACAGGTAGCTAAACACTGGCACCACTGCCCCCTCCAGATTCCAGTTCTCAGTGCTGCAGAGGAGGCAGGGCAGGGGAGCAGGTTTTCTGCAACGGGAATCAACGAAAGGCAGCAATAGCCACCAGGGGGCAGCAGAGCCTCTATCGCTGCCAACTCTGCCCAGATAAAAGCAGCAGTCTGGAGTTTGCAACTCTGAACTCATCAAACATAAGAGTCTTCATCCAGGTTGGACATAACCTAGAACTCTGCACAGATGTAGCCCATGGCAGCTCAGTGTCCAAGTGGGTTCCCTAGTAATGGGAATAGGGGCTGCCTCTGACGCGAACTCAGTGGCTGGCTCTTTGATCACCTCCCCCTGAGGTGGGGAGTAGCCTTATCAGGCCAAAGAGGAAGACAATGCAG